TATTTTAATTATTCTTGGTATCATTTATCTCCTAAATAGTCTGTATTTCTGGCTGCCTCAATTTCCTTAGTATTGAATAAATTCTGTGAATTTTCCTGACTATACATTTTATCCATGCAAAGGATACTCTAGGTTATGGCTGCTACATCACTATTCTGGCATCTGAACAAATTTCACTGTAAAACTGTAGAGTCGAACATATTTTGTGAACTTCATTTCTATGTTTAATATATGTTTCCTTATATAAGTTTATTCTTTGCTACACTGCCTATTTTTCCAGATTTTTAAATTTTACTTTCCTTTCATAACTTTGGAAACTATTATTCTTTCCTATAGTCTTTTCAGCATAGTGATATTATATCATATTCCAAACATCCAGGCATATAAATATACAAACAGTTTAAACCATCATGGATTTAGTCTAGAACCATGAAAACCACCTCAGGAAAACTTAAATTAGAATCAATAGTCTAATTATTATTAATCATAAATCCTGAAGGATCTGTTTATTAAAGTGATGTCTTTCACATACTTAAAATGACCAGTCAACATCACTGAAGAGGTAAATATTTCACTTTTTATTTTCTTAGATAGACCCTATCAATAAAACAAAGTTTCATTAATTTATAATCAATTTAAATGAAAACTGAAACATAAAATATTTATAAATATTTGTGTTTTCACATACGATTCCAATTAATCACCAAAAAGTTTTGTCAATTCTACTCCAATGACTAGATAATGAAACTGAAGAACAACGTTGATTGTTTGAAAAGGTTATGCTCCTAAATAGGTTAAACATTCTTCATACAATATTGTTTACAATATTAGCACAATTCATTTGCTCAGTAAATTCTCTTTAAAAATAGTGTAAATGTAGAATATTTTTACCTTGAATGAAAGAGTCTGAACTGATGGAGTGTAACTATATATGGGGAGTCCTGGTGGCACAGTGGTTAAGAGCTCGCTCTTTGGAAATCCTATGGGGCAGTTCTACTCTGCCCTACAGGGTTGCTATGAGTCGGAATCAACTCCATGACAATGGGTTTTTTATTTTTATTTTTAAACTATGTATGGAGAAATACAAAACAAAAAAGAGCCACTGACAGAAGAGTACACTTGTTTTAAAATATATTTAGGTAAAGACTGTTTAAAATTCTTGAGGAAAACAATCTTTATTGTTTTAACTCTTTAATCGTCTCTTTTAAAAAATCCAAAGGCATTATACACTTATTCTTAACAAAATTCAAACAATCTACTTTTACAATTTCACACCCCCACAACTAACCTACTCCTCTTTCCTGAAAGTAAGTCTTACATTTTATTACTCTGTGTATATGAAACCTAGCAGAGCACCGAACACACAGCAGGCATTCCAACAATGTCACAATTCCAATAATTCTATCACATTTTTCATCAGTGATTTGTAATACATAGAGTCAAAAAACTTCCTAAGAATCTCACATTTCCCTATTTCAGATTTTCAGGAACCTCACACCTATGTAATATACAAGACTATGCATGAGATATTTAAACATCATGAAGACTCCAATGAAAGATGTAAATTTCTGCTCTTTAAAAAGAAATTTAAAAGACTCAGGCACCTACAGTCAAACCTATGAAAGCTAGAACCTGTGTGAGGCAGAAACATGTCAGAGAAGGAAAACAAAAATATTTTCCACTAACAGAGAGTGTTACAAAAGTGGTAAGACTCCGCCCTGTCAAAGGTGGAAAACTTTTGAGACCTGGAAAAACAAGGCAGTCCCACTGAGTTCTGGCTCTCACAGGCTTCACTGTATATAAGTAGATGTGACTGTCAATATATACAGGTTCACCCACAGAGAAAATAAAATTCCCATATGTTGGAACACTTGGCATCTGTGCGCTTCCCTTTCCTATTTCATGCCATTTTCCCCTGGCCCCATGCACTGAATGTAGATTCAGTCTGGAGAAAAGTGCCCCAGCTGCTACCTGAAGACTGGCAAGCACTGAAACCATGAGATGATCCAGCACTATCTCCCACTTAAAGTTCTCCCTTGGGGGTGAATCTGGGTACTGGCACTCCTCGCTGCGCACTAGAAGCAGAGAATATTGCTTTAATTGGGACAAATTCAAGGACTCTGCATTTCCAGTAAGAGGAGAGGGGAAGCAGAATTCTATTGCTATTAAGTGTCTCAGGAAGTACAATTTTCTTGCTTCATTTTTGGTCAGAAATGAAATGGAAATTGAAAGAGAATAAAAATGAGAAAGAAAAATAGTTGTGATGGCAGGGCTTACATCAGATCTGGGATAAAGCTGAGGTATACAAATAACAGAATTAGAGAAAGTAACAAGACAATTGTCTAGATGTAAATATTCCATACAAGCCAGCATTTAATTTCTTGCATCACATACATCATGTTTACTGCATCCCCACATTAAACTGTAAAATCCTTGAAAGTAAAAATTGTATTTTATTCTTTTTAGCATAATAAAAACATATTGATAAAGACTAAGAACAAAAGTTTATGAAATCTCAGACTCTTGTAGCTTAAAAAAACAAAGGTGGACGATTATTGTTAGGTCAACAATTTATTCATTAATAGATCCAACCCTTCTAGAAGTGGCTAATTATATGCCTGGTATGCCATTATTTAAACTATTTGATATGAATGTTATAGCCATGATATTGAAACTAATATGAAAATATACCAAAATATGTTCATAAAAATTTTCATTGTCATCTGTGATGGTTAAGATTGTGTGTCAACTTGGCTGGGCCATGATTCTCAGTGTTTATATGTGATCTCTCCCATGACTGAATCTGCTGTGAGTAGCCAATCAGTTGAAAGAGAATTTCCTTGGGGGCGTGGCCTGCATACGAACATAAGCAGATGTTCTGGCTTTTCGCTCACTCTGAATCCTTAGGCTGCCTCCCGTTTGTCTGACCTTCGGTTCTTGGGACTTGAGCTATCAGCTTATCTGCTGATCCTGGGATTTGCTGATCTTCACAGCCTGTGAGCAGAGTCTTGCTTTCTGAACTGCTAATCTTGGGATCACCAGCCCCCGCGGCTATGTGAATCTGGAGAAGCCTCTACCCTAATTCATGGACTTGGGATGTTCCAGCCTCTACAATTGTGTGAACTGTTTGTTTGATATAAATCTCTCTATATATATTTACATGCTTTACTGGTTTTGCTCCTCTAGAGAACGCAGAGAACCCAGCCTAAGATACCATCCTTTAAACAAGAAGATAATCACCATTTACCAAAATCACATATATATATTTTTTAAATTAGGTTAAAAGTATAAGGCAGAATCCATTGATCAGCTAACTTTTTAAGAATCTCTTATTTCACTATTTCAGATTTCAGGAACCTCACATCTATGTAATATACAAGGCTATGGATGAGATATTTAAACACCAGGAAGACCCAGATAGTAAATTTTTTAGGCTTGCAGACCACATATGGTCTCTGTCATCACTCTGCCACTGTAGTGCAAAAGTAGCCACAGACAATACAATGAGTGTGGCTGTATTCCAATACAACTTTATTTATAAGAACACTCAGCCAGCCTATGGGCTGTAGTTTGCTGACTCCTGAAGTAGATTATATGTAATGAAAGTAGCATTGCATAGAATAGACAAAGGATACTTTAAAAATTTTATTGGATAAGAAATGTTTGTGACATTTCCAAGCTCTTTATTGATTCTTAATCAAACTTAAAATTGGACATAAATCTTACCTGGTTAGGTATCCTCAGTGGGGGCCTTGGACCTCCAGGGTACCGAGGTGACATAAAAGGCTATTGGCATAAACAAACAAATAAAAACAAAACAAAACAGAAAGCACAATGTAAAATACAAAATTGAAAATACATTAACTACTTAAAAAAAATTTTAGAACTATACAAAACACAAATCAATTTACTTCTTTATGTGGCTGCTTTGGGTAGAATAAATGATTTTAAGAATGATTATCATCTTATATTTTAAAGAATATCTGGAATATGTTCCAAAGAAAATGTAAAAACATCAGCGATGGTACGATAACTATAGCAAAATATTTTCTAATTATGTATTATTATTAGGATAAGGATATCTAATTGGCAAAAAATAAGATTATGAAATTTAGGTAATTCAATCTCAGGAAAGACTTCAGGAGGAGGCTTACTGGTTATATCATACAAATTAGTTTCTGAGGACATGCTTTTGACAGAATTGCCCAGTTTGGTTATCTTATTTCCTTAATAGTCTCAAAGTTGCCAAATTTCTTCACCTTTTCTTTTGTAGCTCTGTTTAAAATGGTAAAGACATTTATCTTCCATGGGTCATTTGTGGTGAGAAAAGCTTTGGCTTTCCTCCATTACAGATTTGTTATAATTCAAAATTTATTATAGATTTTAAAGTTGAAATTTCTTTGCATTTTATGAGCCTAGTAGATTATGAAGTATATTCTTGTAATAGAAGATAAAATGGTCTTATGCTAAAACTCAACTCAGTTTATATTGTTAGATGAGTCAGTGGCTCCTGAGATGTGTTGAAACAGTCAGTCCAGAAACTGCCTGAAAAGTGTCCTAAAAGGATCATTTCAGTGATTGTTGAATGTTGGGTAGGCGGAGAATATTTTCGATTACTCTGACTTGGGTACCAAACTTAGAAGTTTAATCAAACATTTAAAGTGTTTACTATTATTCAAACAGTAAAAATCCAAAATTATTAAAAATTTGATTTTTTACTATTTTCTTCTAGAACCAATAGCAAATCACCAGGATATAATTTTGTTTAATTATATCTGAATACATGATTTACTGAAATGTAAGATTTATTCCTTGCTCATAAGCAAACAGCAACTCTAAAGGGTTGAATATTATTAAGTAAAATATTAATAACAGATGAATATAAATTAACAGTCAATTTAACATATAGCACATGAATAAAGGCCTGATCAAGCTAAATCTATAGAGCTCTTACAAAATTAAATTCTACATTTATAATATATTTTTCCCAATTTTTTTTTTTAACAAATTAAGGCTGTAGTTCATGGTTACACATGCTTTCCAGGGCTGTTTTAAAAGCAGCATTGGAAAAATAAAATCCTAACAAATTTACGCCGATAGAATTTTTCTATATTATCTGTTTAAGGGTCTGACAAACCAGCAAGAGGAACTTTAGAGTTAAGCAAACAATTTGGCTTTTTGCGCACTGTGTTTTTACATGTTAATGTGCTCCCAGGAGTCCATTTTATATGGACAGAAACAGTAGATTATTCTGATAATATTGTCACCTCCAGCTGATAAAACATAAGTGGATTTTCCAATTTTAACAAAGTTGATTTAAAAACCTGTAGTTTTCACATATTTGATCAAAATTGCCTCTTTTTGGTTATCATTTCTGAAACTCTAAATTGGGTTAATTAACTGCCAACTAGAAGCTTATTCCAATATTCACACTCCTTCTATTTTCCTTTTCCTTTTAAAATCACCTAATTATATTTGTGAAACTGTCTTTTAAAATATGAACTCATTTAAAATTAATAATTAAATACTGTGTCATTTGTTTTGGAATGGTTGTCTTTTTCTCACAAAGTGATGTTTTATGATACATTTCCTTATCCAAAATGTAACATCAGTTTAGTTTTTGAAATGTAGAGAAATAAAAATAGGTTACTAATCATTCCTCTTCATAATAAAATCACTTTGAAATGGAATACTAGGGAGAGATAGAAACTACGTTAAAATACTACTAAATAACAAACACTGAGAAAAGCATTGAGAAGTGCCTTATTTAAAAGAGAACACTACATATTTGCATGTTCTACTGAAAGTAAAAATACTAGTGTTAATTTAATGGAATATTTAAAAAGAGAAAAAGTTTGCTCTAATCTATGGTACTGTAAATTAATGTATTTTAATGGGACTGTCTGTACACCCCTAACTAATTGTAAGGGGTCCCATCAAGTGACTGCTATGAGGTAGGGGCACTGAATGTGGTGGCTGTGAACCTACAGGTCCCTACAGAGTAAGACTGGGAAAGAGCAACAGAGATTCTCATTTTAGCAAATTTATGTCCTCTTCTATGCCTTCCTCCAAGAAGTACAAATCCATGGGTTTTTTTGGCAAAAAAAAAAAAAGAAAGAGAAAAAAAATCACTTAGAAACTCTAATCTAGATAAACTCCAATTTAGATAAAAATCTACTACTTTTATCTAAATATGCAGATTGCTATGGTAAAAAGCATTTTCAATAAAAAAAATTAGTGCTGCTATAACATAAGTTCTTCATATTCACTGATCGATCTCTACTTTGAAATTTTTAGATAATTGCCTACTTCATTAGCTTGAACCCACAAATAAGAAAACCCAAGAGTATGTATGTTAGCAAATGAGAATATTCTCTACTTGACTATTCAGATTCTAAATTTGCTTTTAAATATAATTTAAGACGGTAAAACAAATTGAAATTCTTTTATGGTAAAAGTAATAATCTGTCCAAGAGATTACCTATGGATAATATAAATTATATCTACTGACGGGCAGATCTCTACTCCCTGCATTAGTAACCTGGAAGGTACAGATTCTTCAAAAGGGTCCTTGGCTATGAAAGTGTGCTTACTCTTTATACTGTATTTTTCTGCAAATAATGTGTATCTTCTATATTTGTTTGCCAACTTTGTCCTCCCCCCAGGAGGTATTTTGCATAGTAAGCTTATGAAACTATCTCCAGGAGGGAGGGTGCAACTGGCAAACAAACTTAGAAGGCACACATTATTTGCATAAAAATACGGTATTTAGGACAATTTTTTTTTAATAGTTTGGGCATCAAAATATTTGCCTGAAGAAGTCATGATGGTGACTCAATATTTCAACTGGAAAAAGCCTTCCCAGTCAAAAGTTATTTATAATGTGTATGGAAAGAAGATTTGACCAAGAGCTGGCGGCCTGGTTTTTAGTTTTTGCAACCACCACTAATTAGCAGAGTGGCCTTGAGCTAATACTGTTTCAAGGCTTTAGTGTTCTCAACCTTAAAATGAATGAGTTGCACCAGACGATATCTAAAGTCCCATATAAAATTAAAAAATAAAACTCATAATACTGTGTTAATTATTTTCAGAATTGCCTTTAAGTATAAAGTTTAGCATATAGTATATCACTATAAATATTTGACCCCCACACATCTGTCAGTTTGTTGTACTGTGGAGGCTTGCATGTTGCTGTGATGCTGGAAGCTATGCCACTGGTATTCAAATACCAGCAGGGTCACCCATGGCCGACAGATTTCACCTAAGCTTCCAGACTAAGACAGACTAGGAAGAAGAACCTGGTGATCTGCTTCTGAAAAGAATTAGTCAATGAAAACCTTATGAATAGCTGCAGAAAATTGTCTGATATAGTGCCAGAAGATGAGCCCTCCAGGTTGGAAGGCATTCAGGATACGACTGGGGAAGAGCTACCTCCTCAAAGTAGAGTCAACCTTAGTGACATGGATGGAGTCAGGCTTTTTGGGACCTTGATTTGCTGATGTGGCATGACTCAAAATGAGAAGAAACAGTTGCAAACATCCAAACATCCATTAACAATCAGAACCTGGAATGTATGAAGTATGAATTTAGGAAAATTGTAAATTGTCAAAAATGAAATGGAAAGCATAAACATCAATATCCTAGGCACTAGTGAGCTGAAATGGACTGGTGTTGGCCATTTTGAACTGGACAACCATATTGTCTACTATGCCAGAAATGACAAATTGAAGAGGAATGGCATTCCATTCATCATCAAAAAGAACATTTCAGTATCTACCCTGAAATACAAGCTGTCAGTGATAGGATGATATCCATACGCCTACAAGGAAGACTAGTTAATAGGACTGTTACTCAAATTTTCGCACCAACCACTAAGGCTAAAGATGAAGAAACTGAAGATTTTTACCAACTTCTGCAGTCTGAAATTGATCGAACATGCAATCAGGATGCATTGATAATTACTGGTGATTGGAATGCAAAAGTTGGAAACAGAGAAGAAGGATTGGTAGTTGGAAAATATGGCCCTTGGTGATAGAAGCAATGCTGGAAATGGCATGATAGAATTTTGCAAGACCAATGGCTTCATTTCAAATACCTTTTTTCAACAACATAAATGGTGACTATACACATGAACCTTGCCAGATGGAATACACACGAATCAAATCGACTACATCTGTGGAAAGAGACAATGGAAAAGCTCAATATCATCAGTCAGAACAAGGCCGGGGGCCGACTGTGGAACAGATCATCAATTGTTCATATGAAAGTTCAAGTTGAAACTAAAGCAAATTAGAACAAGTCCATGAGAGCCAAAGTACGACCTTGAGTATATCCCACCTGAATTTAGAGACCATCTTGAGAATAGATTTGATGTGTTGAACACTAATGACCGAAAACCAGACAAGTTATGGAATGACATCAAGGACATGACACGTGAAGAAAGCAAGAGGTCATTAAAAAGACAGGAAAGAAAGAACAGACCAAAATGGATGTCAGAAAAGACTCTGAAACTTCCCCTTGAATGTCAAATAGCTAACGCAGAAGGAAGAAACGATGAAGTCAAAAAGCTGAACAGATTTCAAAGGGCAGCTCGAGAAGACAAAGTAAAATACTATAATAACATGTGCAAAGAGCTGGAAATAAAAAACCAAAAGGGAAGAACCTGCTCAGCATTTCTCAACCTGAAAGAACTGAAGAAAAAATTCAAGCCTTGAGTTGCAATAATGAAGGATTCTACAGGGAAAATATTAAACGACGTAGGAATCATCAAAGCAGGAATACAGAGA